ATTGCATACAAATCACTCCTTAAAAAGGTAGCATATAGGACATCATTAGGAGCTGCTTTAAGATTCCGTTGAACTTTTTTCTACTTATCTCCAGGGCAGACAACCTTGTGTCTCTCATTTCCCCTATAATCCATAAATCTGTTCAAGTTTTTGTGTCCCCTCCTTTAAATGTTATCATCTCTCCTTCCGTATCACTCTTCCCCTTTTATTTTATGAAGTTCTGTTATTCAGACAGAGAAGCATGTGCTTAGGTGTTAGCTCTCAGCTATGCATTTTGGCCCAGAATGTAATCTTTCCTCCTTCCCCCCCTCCTTGAAAATGTTACATATTTGAGCTAGGACACACTCACGCCTTCATTTTGTTACCCACCAAGCATTGCCGTTTTAACCTTTGTATAGCAATTCTCTTTCTGCCTTCCTGGTGCAACACTGCCATCCCTTACTCACTGCCAAGCTGGACATGTCACTCCATCCTCATCTGGGCAGCAGATTGTGGGTACTAGGTACACCACAGAGGAGAGAGCCTGTGCATAGGTATGTCCTCATTAGTGTCTGCTGAGGTGGGGGAATGGATATAAGGCTCTTCCCCACCCATTTAGAGAGGCACTGTGTGCATTGCTGCTTCTGAAACGAGGAGTCAAGCCCCAAAGTCCTTAGGAGATAATTAAAGACATTAAATGCTGATTGTAACAAAGACAAACCAGAGTAGAGCATAAGAAAGGAAGATTATCCTGTACTAGGATTTGCATTATAAGTTCACTAAGAATATAATTTGCTTTTCCCTGCTTCCATGCAACTCACCTGCTGAAGAGGTACACAATCTTCCTCTTCCTTAGCTGGCATCTAAATAGGTTGCAGCTGCTACTGATTTCATTTAGGGCTTAAACCCTTGATGACAGATGTCATGATTTGAGCAGAAGAGTTTGATAACTCCTAGCTGGGTATTTGTACATAGTATTTCTGCAGCATTCTTATGCAGCAAGGAATATATTTTCAGTTTAAGAAGTGTGACACAATCTTTCATCATGAACGTAAATGAGCTGATACTAATATGGTTAAGGCAGGCCTTTCTAAGTGTGCCAACAGGAAGGGAAACCCCCAGTATGTTAAGGAAGACAGGTGAAATGAAGAATGGCTCAGGAGTGGCAAGAAAAGCAACTTTAAGTTCACTTTAAAAATAAAAGAAAGTGGTTCATAACATCAGTGAATGAAAAACAGCTAAATGAATTTCACTATTGATAATAAGCAGGAAACCCAGTGCCTGGGATCATGAGTTTATGCAAATCTGTTATTACTGCAAATTGGCATCCTAAGACCCTGATCATACAACACTTGCACATATGCGTAACTTTATGCACATGAGCAGTCTCATTAATGCCAAAGACTTAGTCGTGCATAAAACTGAGTAAATGCATGAGTGTTTGTAAGACTGGGATTTAAACACAAGGGATAGAAAACAAATTTACTGTATCATCAACAATTATTTCTGAAACCCATCAGAAGCCAAGGTGGTGCCAAAAGTCTGTTTAGTGTAGAAACAGTCAAAAAGAGAGAGGAGTGGGATTTTGAAGATTGCTGCCTTTAACTCAGTCCATTAGGCCCAATAATAGTGGGGCAAACATGGGAGGAAAGCACCCCTGCCCAGATTAAAGTTTAACTGATCATGGGTATTGGAGACATAGAGTTTCAAGTCACGTTTTATAAGATACGCTGGATTCATCAGATTGGACAAAGCCTTTGGTGATATGGTACAGTGGGGGGTGTCTCTGCCCATGGCAAGGCAGTTGGAACTAGATGATCTTAAGGTCCTTTCCAACCCAAACCATTCTATGACTGTCTTTTAAAGCCAGACTTCAAATTTAGTTATTGAAAAGAACTGTTTATAATCAACTTGGATTTGACTAAATTATTCAGGAGTGTCATGCAAAAGTCTCACAAAATTAATTTAAATAGTGTTTAGTTTATGTGGATTCAGAGCTAACTGCAGCATTTATATAGTTAGAATAAACACAAAGGCTTACATCAGAGGGAAATGCCTCTTGGCACTGCAGTGAAAACTGATGGCTAGTCTTAGAGCTAGTTTTAACAAGAATATTAAGCTATGCTTTAGAAAACAGAAGAGTTCCCTTATGTTATGAAACATGATGAAAAAATGCTATTTCTTGGGAATCCAAAAGAGTAAATACAATAAAATTTGAGTACTTACCAGCAAGACAAGAAAAAAGAAAGAGCTGTAAAACATCTCTAGAAGTAAAGCTTCTGCCAAATTTAAAGGGATAGCTCTGGAGAAGGAATTCTGGGAAAAGTGCAACCCTGCATTGAGAAGATGTAAAAATAAGGTCTCTATGAAAAGAAGGTCTTGTTATAAACAGAATCAGTCAAAAGTCATGTTTATGTTTCATGGTAATTTCTGTCTGCTTTTTAAGCTTTCTCTCGTTCCAGTTTGAAAAAAAAATAATACATTCTCCACAATCAGTTTTACTGCTACTTTTTGTGGTGGTTCTGTTGTTGGGTTTGTTTTTTTTTATTTCATACTTTCTGTTCTTTTCACCCAGTAGGATTGCTGCTGTCAATTTTGCTGTGTGATAGTAAAGTTGATGGTATGGTACTTTCTGTTAGTCACATCTTGCATCTTATTTCAAAGCAGCAGTTCTAGGATCTCTTGGTCCCATGCCTAGCTATGTATCTGACTCCTGGCAATGTCTGGATATTGCAAGGGACATTGGTTCTCCACAGGGTTTATTCAGGAGGGTTGTCATGGAGATAGAAAGCCTCAAAAAGGCAGTACAGTCCTTCACGCAGCTGCAGTTTATATGGACAAGCTGCCCACAGCAATGGCCATGAAGGCTGAGCTGGCAGGGAGCCAGGCAACTTGTGAAAGTGCTTTAGCACATTTGCACTTGATATTTTGGTTGTGGTTAAATGGAGTACCAATGCATTGATGACCAGCTGTTTTCAAGTCTGCATACATCTTAAAGGCTTAATTTTATATAAAAATAGCTTTGGGGGATGACTTCGGTGAGGTAGCATCTTCTGTAATATCACAGCACAGTAATGCTTTGTCTCCTGCATGTACAAGAGCAAAGTGGAAGGAGTAACACATGCTGGAACAGGTTGCTGGCCAGGAGCTCTCCTCCCACTAGCTCTTTTCCCAAGGGAAATAAAGTTTGAGCTTTCTTCCCGAGTTAAATTTTGCCTTTTTATTTCCTCTCTAAAGGCTTCAAAGAGGGAGGTAGGACTTTTCCTGTGGCTAGCTGGCGTCTGGCAAGAGTGCATTTCTGAGCTGGGCTTTAAAGAACTATCGTGACAAAGATAAAAAGAGTAGATATAAAAGTGGTATTATTGGTGAGAAAAGTGATGTGGGAGGTGTAGCATCTGGTGGAATCAGACCCAAAAATATTTGTTCATTCTGCCTAACATCACCATGTGCAACATTGCTTTGTATGGCTGGTCAATAAGATGCACAAGTTTGCAGATTCCTGGCTTCAGGGTACCAGCGTGTTCTGAGTTGAAGGACTATGACAACTGGAGAGTGGAGGAAAGTCTGAAATAAATTTGAACAGTAATGATGGTATTTTCAATGCCTACATGATTCATTCTACAGCTCTGACAGAGTGAACCTTCCAAAGGTTGTGATGCTAATTGACTCCTAAATTTTGTGGGTTTTTTGAAATAGACTTCAAATTCTTTGAGGAAATAATTATTTCAGCATAAACCAGTCTTTCTTAATCCAGACCTTATTTATTATATTCTGAAGCACACCTTGAAATGCAACACTGAACACAATTTCTCTTTGATTGGTTTAATGGAAACAATTTCTCTCTTCAGCAAGCACTTGCTTTCAGAGTGAAACCTTAACATTTTACTTTTTATCTGTCTTGTCAATCATTGTTTGTTTTCTTTCTTCTTGTTGGCCCCACCTGGAGATGTCACATACCTCTCAAAAGCATGTAATATGAAAATATGCTGAACAAGTTCTTATTTTTCAAACCAGCCAATTATTTACCAGTTGATCTAGCAAGTATATAAAATTTATTTTAGGAAAAACAGTTTATGCAGCTGATGCATGGCACCTGTGTGCAAGTTTGCTTAACAAAATCATAACTAATGCCCAACTGTAATTTTTCTGATTTGATATTTCATATCATAGACTCACAGAACAATACAGACTGGAAAGGACCTCAGAGAGTCCTTGCTCAAAGTAGGGTCAGGTATGAGATCAGATTGCTAAGGGCTTTACCCTATCTTAAAAACCTCCAAAGATTTTAACACAGCCACACAACCTCTGTGGGTAACCATTTCCAATGCTTAACTATTCTCATAGTGAAAAGATTTTTTCTCATATCTTGCTGAAACCTTTCTTTTTCCAATTGATGCCCATTAGCTCTCCTCCTCTCTCTGTGGGTTGGGGCTTGTGTTACTAAGGGCTGTGACAAATAAAACCTTTTATTTCTTGTCAGTATTTCTGCATGCATTAGAGAGAACAATTACAATAGCCTTCAGGCTTTAAGGCAATGAATCTAAACAAGTTTTTTTCCTGCTCCTTATGTGTTGTATTAAAAGACAAAAACTCATCCTTGCATGTAAAGAAAACAGAGTTTCAATGAAGATCTGACCCAGAGACTGGAAAAACCAGTTTTCCTATAAAGGATGTCCTTTCATTAAAATGTCTATTGTAACTTAAACAATTTATGATATATTTTCTTTTCCAGGAATGTTTTCAATCTCACTGAGCATGCTGAAATCATTATATAGTTAGTAGAGATGCTTCTTTGTCCAGTCAGATTTACTATAGTTACATTTCTGCAGGAGATTAAAAATGATGTACTGGTAGCTATCCTTCTAAAAGTACTCTTTTAAGTAATATGTACCTGTATCTTCCCAAACCTGGAAGAACATACAGAAGAGCAAAGGAAATAATAACAGCAAACAATTCAGGGCAAATAATATATGAGAACTTACACCAGTGTATTTATTTAAATAAAGGGAAACGTCAAAATGTGCAAGCTAAGAACATCAGTTTATTCACATATTTTACATTCAGAGGACCAACAGATTATTTTTTTTCCCCAAGATAAAGGGCTTCTCTTGTGGTTTCCAAAGTTTTGTCAGAGACATGGAATATACTTAATGAAGCATATCACTGCAGTGCATAGAGTGAAAGCCTTGTGTATAGGGAAAAAGATAAAAAACCAAACAAACAAATTAGACCATTACCAACAAAAAGTTTCCTTTAATATAAATAAATCTCAGAGTAGTGCTTTATTTTAACAGACAACACAACAGTGGGATTTATTAAAAACTACATATTTACAGTGCCTCAAAAGTAAAAATACTGGGCTTCATCTGAGATCTTAGACACTTCCTGAGAAGGCAATGTGGATTGAGGATTGCTCAGCACTTCACATACACAAGCTAGGTGCTAAAAGGGTGAAATTAAAGCATACTTTTAAAGTAAGTCAGATGGGAAAGGTGGAACTGCTGATGCATCATATCTATGCCCTGATCTGGCAAAACCTGCACCTCAAGTATTCCGTTTATATTTCAGTAGACCTATGGATGCTCCCAAGGTTAAACACAGGATAAGTGTTTCAAAACCAGGAGCCTCAGAGGAAGACAACTGCTTGACTCAAAGATTCTGTGAATAAACTGCTGTAGTTATAATTTTACGTGGTATGGAGGCACACAACATTGAATTTAAATCTGCATTCTTCTGCATGGGTGATTACTACCACTTTTAATTTGGTGCTGCAAGGTCTGGATTCCAAATATCAAGCAACGAACTTATGAAAGCATCTTCTTCCCAGAGCCTCCAAAATCATTGTGCCAGTTTAGTAGATCTCAGTCTTTTTGGCAATTAAATAAAACGAGAACCAGATCTTTTTCAAAGTATTCACAAAACAATATTTCACTTATAAAATGGCTGTCCCACCATTCTTGTATCAGATCTGACCTCAGCTCTTAAGATCTAAACAGTTCTTTAAAAGTTATAAAAATAAAGAATTGATTAATATACAAATATATATTTCAGACTGATAAGTGAATATCATTAAACAAATTCTTTCTTTAATCTACTTTAAATTAAAAGAAATGTTTTCAAAAGTCTGGGCTGAAGCTGATCTTTATCTATTGACTCTTTAATGGAACCCATTCCCTGCAGATGACCACATACAAATTCAATGTAAGAAGCTCATTGTTACAAAAAATACAGTGAACATGTTTCACTAACAAGGCAATTCGTAAAATCTGCTGTGCTAGTTAGATTTTGGTATCTTGCTTTCAAAAACTGCAGATATTTCTAATATTAGAAACAAAACCTGAAAATCATGAAAAATCTTGAGCTTCTTCAGAAATTTGCTTTTTTTTCCCCCAGTCTTCATTAATACTTATTTTGCAATAATCGAGTTTGTTTTGTATACTGCTTGTATACAGCATAATATAAATGCTTTGCATTAATGCACACATATGTACAAAACCAGTCAGTAATTCAATTAAGAGATATGCCTGCTCACTCTATCATTTCATACTTTCACAATAACATATTTTTTCCATAATATCCATAACAACATCATCTAGCTTGCTTCCTTCTTCCACTGATATGCTCGTGCATATTTTTGTTCCGTTTATCTCAAGCAGCCGAAACAGCAAGGAACATTTTTGAACAACCTATAATATTCTTCCTGAATCTGAAATAAAAATGTTGAATTCAAATATTAGATTTCTTGTTTATTATTATATATTTATTAATAATTCAATATGTCTTTCAAATAATTTTGTACTGCTCCTCTCACTAGATGTCTTAAGGTAGGGTTGGTTTTGACTTTAGGACAGAGTGAAGGAAATGTTATCACAGAATAGTGTGGGTGAATCCTGCTATTCACTGGAAAGGCCAGAAGTGAGTTTCACTGCACACACTGCGTTATTTCACTGGGTTAATGACACTGTATCGAGTTTCACAATTAAAAAAACCAAAACACTGTTTTCATATTTTGTATATTGGTTTTAAAACTGGTGAGAAATATGTGAGAAGGTTAAAGTTAGGCAGAGATTTGTCTCCACTGAAGGTGTAGGATACTTTCACATTTTCTCTCCTCTCCCCCATTAACGGCACAAGGATTTCTTTGTTGTACCACAACTCCACTTCAGTACTGGGGAGCTGTGTCTGTAGGTACACGAGACTGCCTGAGTGGCTTCCCACAAAGAATGAGACACTTACCTTCCTAGACAACACACAAAGAAATATGAAAATGAACATCCCCTGGAATGCATTGAAGATTGTAAAAAGATATGCTGTAACCACGGATCCCTGGACAACATGGAGGACTCCGAAGATCCATGTAGCCCCAAGGAGGAAGAGGAGAGCAAGAGCACCTCGGGCACAGGATCTAGACAGGAAGGAAGCATTACGAACAACATGTGGGCAAGTGTTATTTTCCTTCTTTCACCACTTTGGAAGGTAAATGCTGCCTAGGCAAATTTTTCCCATCTGCAAAGTCCTGAGAAATGCAAATACATGGGCTGTTCTTTGGGGTGTGCTGTAGCATCGTGGCACGAATAAGCTCGCATAATCACTGCTGAAGAGCAGAGTAGAACTGGAGGGCCCTAAAACACTGGCTTCTTTAATCTTCAGATACGTTTTCTCTGGTGTACTGCAGCACCATATGATTTGATTTAAATCTACTGTTAGTGTAATACCCCAAGGAAAAACATATGTCTGTTATGAAGCATTCCACCCCCCCTTTTCCTCCTCCTCCTTATCTTCCTCAAAAAATAACCCTGAAAATTGTACAGTATGCTCTTAGGTCAGTACATGTGCATGACATCAAAAGGTTCCCAGGCTGCCTCTCAGGTTCACTGCAGAAGACGGTGCCAGCTGTAAAACTAGACTTACTTTCTTTCATTCTTTCTCTTAAAAAAAATAATTATTTTTGCTCACAGGCTTGAGCAAATTAAAGCATGCTGTCTTGGAAATGAAACCACTGATTACTTTCTTATACACTCTCAGACCAGTCCTTGCAGGACTTCCATTGAACAACAGACATTTTTAGCATTGTTCACTCGAAAATGAATAATTTTCAACTTCGTCAAGACCAGGTCACCACATGAAACTATGAAGGGTGAGGAATACGAAAAAGTAATCAATCAAACAATTGCTAAATCCTAACTATAAATCTAGTGCAATGCATTGAAACTCAGGAGTGTTCCTAAGCAACACAAACAGTAAGTTGTTTTCAATGTTCCCTGTAGTACACTTCAGCTTTTCCTGCACAAACGGTTTTCAAGGTCCTTATAAATCAGTTTTAAAGAGACTGAGATGATGGAAAAATCATAGCAGCATGCAAAGTAAAAATCCTGTAGAGAATCCTGCCATACCCCCTAACACCACAGAAGTACAATGTCCTACTGTGGACTTTTTACAAACAACATGAATGGGTTGATTGTCTTATCACTAAATTACTTGTTACTTCAAGGCAAATATTTTTATCCTGATTCAGGCATAAGGTTTGAAATCTTTTTTGGCTTGCATAGAGGCTGTGGAAAGTAATTAAGGAAAAAAAGGACAATTACTTCTTTAACCTTGCCATCTGTCTTTACTGTCTGTTTGATATGGGCCACTTGTATTCCTTGTACACCTCTCACACAACCCCAGTGTTAGTGTACAAGGTACTGCTCTATGGGAATAAAGATTACAAAATATACCTTTTAACAGAAAAATAAATAATCTTTCTTTTTATACAAATCCTCCAGAAGATTAAACTGTTACTTTTGAAAGCTTACTTTCATCTCAGGTTGTATGTAAACTTAGAGAAGATAGAATTTGTATTAAATGGCAAACTTACCTTACATTTTCATAGCAACTAACTTCTGGCTTTAACATTGCAGTGTGTCGAAATACTTTATAAATAATCACTCCAAAAGCCAACAAATTAACCTGTGGTGAGTGAAGAAAGGAACTTTTAGTTCAGGGTGCTTTTGAATTTCAGGAGTTGTTACACATTGAAATTCCTGGGCACTGGAATGGGTTGCACAGGGAAGTTGTGAATTCTCCATCCATGGCAGAGTTCAGAGCTGGGTTGGATAGAGCCTTGCTTGACATGGTTTAGTGTGAAGTGTCCCTTCCCATGGCAGTGGGGTTGGAACTTGATGATCTTAAGGTCCTTTCATAACTAACCATTCTACAATTCCATGATTCTATAATTCTATGTTTCTATGAAATGAAACAAATCAGATGAAGTTTCTTTATATTTGAAATCTATAGAATCCAGTGCTGGGAGGAGACACTCTTCTGTTCCACTTCTATGAAGAAAATATAAGCCCTGTAGTAAACATTGATCAAACAAGGCTGTAACGCCACCTTATCTCAACAGTATCACTAGAAATGGTCTGAAAGTATTCATTGATATTGGTAAAACTCTTGATTTTCTGCTGAGATTATTGTCCTTAACTAGAGATGATGAAAAGGAAAGGAAAAAGGAAAGGAAAAAAGAAGGAAAGAAAACAGGAAAGGAAAAAAAGGAAAGGAAAAAGGAAAGAAAAAGGGGAGAAGGAAAAGGGAAAGGAAAAAGGGAAAAAGGGAAATGGAGAAAACAAAAAAAACCCTCCTGCTTATGGATTTTCTGTTATACAATATTGTGTAGACCTTGACAAAATGTATATCTTTTGTTGCTGAATAACATCATATGTTCTGAGGTTTTTTGGGTGTGAAAACTTTCAAGTGGCACAAAAAAACTTTGAGGTTTACACAAAGAATTTTTTAAGAACTAACTTTGGTTGAAAGGCTTCTTGCTGTGTATTCTCTCTTATATTTTATGATTGTTTCATAGATGAATAATTTCAGTATTTTTTTCCTGCCTTCTTTAAAATGGCATTACTTTATTTCAGTTTGAAATAGAAAAAAGCAACTAAACCCCACAGTTTTGCAAATGATGCTCAGTTATAGTTCTGAACCTCTGTTTGCCTAGCTAGGTTTCATTGATCTTTCATTTGAATTTATACTGCATTCATTTAACAGTGTGGATGGGTTTGCTTTCTTGCTTAAAAAAAAATAAAAAATCTTACTCTTCTTTGCAGCATTTAACATCAGAATCTATTAAAAATGTTAGTAAATGAACCAAATTTTAGCTGGACGTCATCCAGATACTATTTGTAGATCCTTGGTTGTAATCCCTTGGTTGGTTCCTGTGGGCTTCCAGATGTAGACTGAATAGAATTAATGCCTTCCTCAAGTTGTTTCTCCAGAAAGACTGTGTGGGTTTCCTCCCTCCTTCTTAAAAAAAAAAACAACCTCAGAATCCTCTGAAATGAAAACAAAAGGCTCATGTAGGAGCACAGCATCGCTTTAAAAAGAATCACTTTCATTTGTTAACACTTATATATGTCCTCAGAACATTTTTGGTGTGTCAAGGGGGGAGTATGTGATATTAAATGCAGGCTCTGCTTTAATTAGCTGCATGCTCCTACTTTAATACAGCATAATGTGTTTACAATTTGATAAGACAGGAGATAGAGCTGATTAGCAGTTTAGGGAATTAATTCTTCACTGAATACCTTGTACTTGCACTGATCGTGAGAGCTATTCTGAAGCTCCTTATATTTAAAATTGTAATCTATAATATCTCCTAAACCAGCAATTTTTCAAAGTTAATTATAAGTCAGTCAGCAGTTGTGGGTAATTATATGCAGACTTAGTTTTTATCTTATATTTGTTGGTGAATAATATATCAAACAACTTGGTGCACACACTATAATCTGCATAACCTACCTAATGTATTTACTAATCGGAAAAAGGTAGGGTGAAATGTGATCAAAGTACCATGAGCATGGAGAATACACACAGCTACAAAAAAGAGCTATCAAGATCATAGCACAAACCACACGACCAAACTTCCTCTCTAGTGGCCTGTCATCAAAATCACTAATGTCAATGAGAGCCTTCTTTTTGCCATTAATAGGTTCTGTAAGAAACTTTATGGGCCAACCCTCCTTATCTTTTGGCCACATACATCAGCTGCAGAACTAGAGATGCTCTCCTGAGCATGGGATTGAGCATAAGCAAGGCTGGGGGTCTGAGTGGCAGATACGGGGCCTTGCGGCAGCAAACTCTATTTCTCTTAGTCTCAGTGGGGCTCCTTCACACAAATACTATTTACTCTATCCGTTGTACAGAATAATAGGATTTGGCCCTCTGCATTAAAGTAATACCCATTAACTATGATCTTTTCATTCATCAGCCCATTCTAATGGGAATAATCTGTACCGGGGGAATGGGAGAGGTTAACACTGGCTTCTCAGAGTCAGCTGCCAGAACACAATTATAGTACAATATGTCTCAGGTAGCCTCACAGGAGGTAGTGTTACAGGGTAATGAGGGTGAGCTTAACTTCTGAAATATTCAGTCATTTCTAAGATTTATTAAAGCCTTAAGTTAGTTTTTTGCCCCATTTTGAAGCACTCCACCAATAAAAAATATCTATAGCAAAGTGCATAGACTGCCTTTACACAATGTTCAGTGTCTCAAAACAGTAGCTTTTAGGCTACATAGTGTGTTTATTTTTATTTCTTTTTAACCTAAGTTAGAGACCTCTGGAACTACATTTTGTCCTTATGGGACAATACAGGTAACAACAAAGCAATTGCAATTGTTAAGTGACACAGAAATGCAGCAAAATTTGAGGGAAAACAGTAACATTAAGTCATGGGTAAATCCAGGACAAAAAAACTAGCTAATGTTAATGTGCCAAGTGTGGCCTTTAGAAAAAAATGGTAATACAACAGGAATCCTAAGCTGAACATATTTTGCTTCAACCTGATACTCTACATGTTCTTTGCCTCAGCTATTTCTGGGAAATGTAAAGTAAAAAATTCACACTGGATGGCTGAACTGAGTAGGAATACTGAGAAGCTGGACTAAAGTAAGGGGAAATGGCCTTTATATAACTAATATCCTCAAACAGCCGTATGTATTTTAACAAATGGCATGGAAAATCAAATCACCCAAAATTCCCAGATAAAGAAACATCCACTTAAGACATTTGAATTTGTATCAAAACCTGAACTTCAAATGAGCAAAAATGGACCTAGTAGGCTGTAAAAGTAATCAAAATATAGATAGGCACAAGGAATCCTGGATTCCCTAATCTTCTAACTGGGACAAACTGAGGGGCTTCTGGATGAGAGGCACTGAAACATCTAAAAAAGCTTCAGCTGCTACTTATAGACAAATACTGTTTTATACTTATTTCGGTTGTAATCATGTTTTCATTTTTGTAATTAAAGCACAATCTTCAGATCTTGTTGAACAAACCTTCAACGATGCTATAATTAAGGCTGCCTTAAGGTGACAAGCAAGGTGAATGAGAATGAAATGGCAAACATAAGGCATGCTATCTCCAGAGAGTCAGTAAGTTGGAGCGGAGCAATATGTGCAGGCAACTGTGAAAACAAGCTCAGGACGGGCTTTGCACAGGCCTGGAAAGGGCCAGCCTGGGGACTGTTGCTGCCACATGCTGGCTTTGGGGGGAAGTTACCTGCATAATGAGCAGAGATATTCCACAGCTTTGGGCAAACCCAAAGCATGAAATGCTGTGGCAGGGCCACAGTTTTATCAACTGAATAATGACATTACAGTGTGACATGGCAAGTTCCTGTGCCTTTGTTTTCAGTGTTATTACATGGCTGAGCAGTCAGAGAAACTGCTGCAAGTCCTGAGAGGGGCTTCTCAGTAAGTCTAATAGGCTAAAGGGGAATTGCCCTGATTCTAAGCCCACAACTGAATTTGGTTTTTTTCTCTTATTTCATTGAACAAGCCACCCCAAACTTATACTGAGCAAACAGCACACTCAGTCCTTACTACTTCAGAAAGGAAACCTCTGACTTTCTCCCTGCAAGCCCAGTTCTGTTAGGTGCTGAGCATCCTCAGCCCTCCCTCCCCCCGAGGTTCAGTGAGAATCAGGTTTCAGTCAGCATGCTCAGGTGCACTACAGGACTAATTTTAATAATTAATCTATTCCCCCCCCTTTTTTTTCTTTGTTAAGTGGTTAATCAAAGACAAGGGCTGATATAGGAACAGTCTCCACTCATAGCATCTCCAGGGAACCATTTCTCCATAAAGATATTTGTTAAAGTGTTTTTAGCTTTCTTAAATTCTGGAAATGTTGTGGTATATTTATGAAGAAATGGTAGAAAACTGTGAAATAGACATTAAATGAGGGCAGTTATTATCCCATAAAATAAGGATTCTCAAGATAGGGGCATCTACATTTATGTATCTGTGTAACCCAGAGTAATCTCCAAGGAGCCACAAATCTGGATGAGCTAGGTTTTATTCTACACCTGGGACTGAGTTTGTTCTACACCTGTGACTGAGTTTAAAGGGAAGATGGTAAGTGGTACATCTCTCTTGGGGAGATCACCTTTGTGAAGGGTCACAAGGATTTAGGATTTAGAAGTGACTTCTGGCTCCATTAAACCAGTTTCAGGACTCCTGTTAAAAGGAGCTCTGTCACATCATAGAGAGTGGCATTCTCAAGGGGTTTGCAGGCAACAGTGGACACTGCTCTGGATATCACTCTGCAGATTAACACTTGCATGTATAATCATAGAATCATAGAATAGTTAGGGTTGGAAAGGACCTTAAGATCATCAAGTTCCAACCCCCCTGCCATGGGCAGGGACACCTCGCTCTAAACCATATCACCCAAGGCCTCGTCCAACCTGGCCTTGAACACTGCCAGGGATGGAGCATTCACAACCTCCCTGGGCAACCTATTCCAGTGCCTCACCACCCTAACAGGAAAGAATTTCCTCCTTATATCCAATCTAAACTTCCTCTGTTTAAGTTTTAACCCATTACCCCTTGTCCTACCACTACAGTCCCTAATGAAGAGTCCATCCCCAGCAACCCTATATGCCCCCTTCAGATACTGGAAGGAT